GGGGAGCATTGCCTCCAAATATGCTAAGTGTATATTGGAAATAAAGGGTCAGTCCATCTGTAACTGCTATTTCCATTATTGGGTATGCTTTGTGTTGGTTGAGCTCACTAGCACTATGGCTGAATGGAGTGATTACAGCTATACAGATTTTGCCAGTACAGATTTTTCTATCTCCAAATTCTTACCAAAGTAGAAACTCTCAGGTTCATTCACCGAGATGCTTAGGTTTTTTTTTTTTAGTATTTAGAGTAGTTTAGTGTTCTTTGTATTTGTTTTTTTTCTGTACATTTGTAATTTGTGTTCTGTTGCTTTACATTTTTAATGTTACTTCTGTTGTTTTGCTGTTGATTCTGTGTGGAAAAACCCCCATAAAATAACAGGGCTAGTTAGGGGCTATTTTTGTTACAAAAAACAATTTTAGGAGAGTTACAAAGTTGTGATGGGTGAATCTGTCTGGTGTCTGGATTTAACTCAGAAAGGGTTCGGCAAATCTTTTTTAAAGTCTATTGGAGGAGAATTTTTGGGTTAAATTCTGGTCATTTTAAAGGGCTACTAGGCGAACTGCTGTCAAAATAAAAGATGGGAAGCTGGGCACTGCCATGGGTGGCACGTACCAATGCAAAAACATTTGTAAAAAATGCTGTACATGGGGATAGGGTCTTTTCATGCAGCATCATTGAAAATACACACAGCCCCCAAATAACATGCTTAGGGGATGACATAAAGCTGTACATGGTGTTACAGAACAGTACAATTTTCACGGACAGCTTTAACGACAGCATCACTGGAATCACATATTAGGTCATGGAATAGCGAGGCTTACAGGCAGCAACAGCACTCCAATCTGCTTCATTGCACTTTGAAAGGTAGCTTCAGGAGTGACACCTGCTGTATACTCAAATGGAAATATACCCCCATTGACCAGTAGATAGAAACTGGTCAGTAGTTTGCTGTAGCAGTCCCTATTCTCACTGATGCAAAACTGTCCTGCCGCTGGCCAATTTCTATCAAGCTCTCAGTCACCAGTGTAAAGTTGGCCGTCAGTAGGATAATTTTAATGAGCAAAGCTAGGCCCAAATATACTAGAGACAAAGACTGGGGGGGGGGGTTGCTTCAAGGATCCTGCAGAGGATGCAGCAATGTAACATTTTCCTGCAGCATGATAGTTTTAATCAGGGATAATAGAGTTGACTGATGTACTGTATGTCCAACTTGTATTTTATCTATGGAGATAGGGGGGTGCTGTGAATGTGAGTGATATAGTGTGAGATGGTTTAGGTGCACTTCCTGTTGCAAAAATAGATGGCCAATAACAAGTAATTGGTTTGAACACCCGAAATGTATAAAAAAAAGAAGCCCTATCAACTTAATAAATGTTAAAAGTAAATAGAAACTCCAAACTACCTCCTCGAAAACAAAAGCTCACCTTCTTTTTCTTTAGAAAAGCCTTAGGGGGAAAAAAAAGCAGTTTAACATAAAATAAAGCCTCAGCTGCACTGTGGGTGCGATTTAAAGATAGGACTCTGATGTGAAAGGGGACTCCTGAAGTTAGGAGCACTCTGATGGGAAGGGGGTCTCTGATGGGAAGGAGGCACTCTGATATGAAAGGGGCACTCTGATGGGAAGCGGGAATCCGATTTGAAGGGGGACTCTGATGTGAAGGGAGCATTCTGATGTGAAGGGGGAATCCGATGTGAAGGAGGCACTCTGATGTGAAGGGAGCACTCTGATGTGAAGGGGGAATCCGATGTGAAGGGCTGACTCTGATGTGAAGGGAGCACTCTGATGGGAATCTGATGTGAAGGGGGACTCTAATGTAAAAGTGGGGCTCCTGATGTGAAGGGGGCTTCTGATCTGAAGAGAGGCACTCTTCTGGGAAGGTGGAATCCAATGTGAAAGGGGTGACTCTGATGGAAAGGGAGAATCTGATGGGAAAAGGGTGACTCTGATGGGAAGGGAGAATCTGATGTGAAAAGGGTGACTCTGATGGGAAGGGAGAATCTGATGGGAAGGGAGAATCTGATGGGAAAGGGTGGACTCTGATGGGAAGGGAGAATCTGATGGGAAGGGAGAATCTGATGGGAAAGGGAGAATCTGATGGGAAAGGGAGAATCTGGTGAGAAAGGGGGTACTCTGATGGGAAGGGGAAATCTTATGGAAAGGGGGGAATATGATGGGAAAGGGGTGACTCTGATGGGAAGGGAGAATCTTATGGGAAGGGATAATCTGGTGTGAAAGGGGGGACTCTGATGGGAAGGGAGAATCTGGTGTGAAAGGGGTGACTCTGATGGGAAGGGTGACTCTGATGGGAAGGGAAAATCTGATGGGAAGGGAGAATCTGATGGGAAGGGAGAATCTGGTGTGAAAGGGGTGACTCTGATGGGAAGGGAGAATCTGATGGGGAGAATCTGGTGTGAAAGGGGTGACTCTGATGGGAAGGGTGACTCTGATGGGAAGGGAAAATCTGATGGGAAGGGAGAATCTGATGGTAAGGGAGAATCTGATGGGAAAGGGGTGACTCTGATGGGAAAGGGGTGACTCTGATGGGAAGGGAGAATCTGATGGGGAGAATCTGATGTGAAAAGGGTGAATCTGCTGGAAAGGGAGAATCTGATGGGGAGAATCTGATGTGAAAAGGGTGAATCTGCTGGAAAGGGAGAATCTGATGGGGAGAATCTGATGTGAAAAGGGTGAATCTGCTGGAAAGGGAGAATCTGATGGGAAGGGGGGGGGGGTTTACATGGGACAGGGGGAGGACACTGATGGGAAAGGGGGCTTCTGATATGAAAGGGGCGAATCTGAGTTTTTTTTTCTGTAGAGTCCCCGCTTAAAATCCATACCAAACACCCATCTAGGATAAAGATTTGTTATAGATTTTGGAGGATACCACACTTTGTTTTTTACATTGACATTTTTTGACATTTTAGACTGGGGCACCTTGAAATTTTACATACATTTAAAGGGCGCCGCAACTTAATAAAAAAGGTCGAGAAACGCTACATGAAAGGCATACAGAAAAAGGCATTGAAGACAGAAATTAAACATTTACACTGCAATGTTATTTTTATGTTGGATTACTTTTAACTATTTTTTTGTAAATCTTTTAAGTTCAGAAATGTATTGGCGCAGTACGTAAAACATGAACATTTCCTTTTTAATTGTATCTAATCTGAGGCATCATTCTACTTATAAAATAAACATTAATGAGAAGCTTTGCAGTACATGATGATGATTTCAAATATTATTTATTTGTGCTTGTACATAAGTAACATTTTTGTTATGTCACTTGAAAAGTGAATGTCAAGCCAAAAATGTTTAAAATCTTTTGGATGGAATGGGGAAGGATTAGAATTCCTCTCAGTTTTATATTGTTGTGAAAGAAGACTAGAGATACAAGAAGAGTGAACTTCTGGTAAAGATCTTTAACACTA